AATTTTATTTGAAACATAAATAGCCTAAATATATATTTAAGGCAAAGAAATGCCAGAATTGTCACCAAAATAATATTCCATAATAAATACAACTTAAGCTCCATTATGATCCAGTTGTTGTTGATTACCACAGAAAATAATTGAAACGTATCCTCGTATGTCATCTTGAATGAAACCGGTATTTACAGTAATAATAACATAATAAGTAAAAAGAACATAAAAAACTACATAAAAATGCATCTCTAGTACTTTTCAAAAGTGTAAAACAGATAATCCAAGGCCATAACCATGTTTTGAACACTGGTTTGACCAATTAAACTTTTTATTTATTGAATCAAATAAAGTATTTATATGGATTTAAGCGAAGAAAACAAAAGATAGAAACAGTAAAAGAACTAGATTTTTTTCAGAGCCGCTGTTAAAAGTAGGCTATTGAACCTATAAGCAGTTTGTTCATCTTTAACATTTGTATGTTACACGTTTATCCTACTTTTCGCTTCTTCTGAAATAAGGGGCAGCTAAATATGCCATAATAATGCAAAAAGCCCAATTGTTTCTCGTTTGCTATTGAATACAGTGTGTCAGAACTGCTGTGCTGCTCCAGACGGTGGGAGGTGTGTGGTGGGCTGGACTGACTGTCTCAGACACCGCAGGAAAAGAGCAGCACTGCGAGAAAGGACTTTCTTCCATTGCGCGCGCGAGTCTGAACTTCTGCACGGTAAAGATGGAAATATAACAGCTCCTATTTGAACAAAGCACGACACGAATGGGTCTCAGTGAAGAAACTCTGCGGTTCGTGATATCTGATGGTGAGTAATCAAAGACGAAATGCGTGTCAGAGATTTAAATACACATTTTACGCGATGCTCAGATTTGATGGGAATTATATTTTGTTATGCTGGTTTTTAAATGATTGTCATTCAATCTGCAATCATGCGCACCACAGCAAGTTCAATGCAAACGACAGAGTAAGTTTTGTGCGTCGAATTATTCTGGCTCATGCAGTCAGAGCTGGGTAGTAACTGATGAGATGTGATCTGGATCGCGTAATCAGAATCCAAAAATGAGATTAAATTACATTTTAAAATACCCGTAATCAGACTACAGTTGCTTTTTTATGGATTACATATTATTCACACAGCTGCAATAATTTATTGATTTTCCCTAATTCCTCTTTTCATCTTTTGAATTTTCCTTTCTAAAATAGCCTATGCTTACATACACTTGGAAAGTCTTCCAGTTTTGTGGACATTCACACAGAGATCAGTCATCAGTCAGGCGGCTACACAGCACTTGACCACTGGATTTACAAAAATCATTTCAGGTTTAAGAAGTGTTCATTAATGTTAATTTGAATTATCTCCCAGGTGGGTTATTTAACCATGTGTCTTTGGAAGGCTTTTGTCTTTCAAACACATTAAAATTCATGTTATGCAGGCATTCCCAATCTTTTTTGTCATCTGAACCTCTTTCACTTAATGTATTTACTTGAAGTCCCGCTGAGATTTTAAAATAAATATTTTCTTAATTAAAGGAAAGTTCAACCATAAATAAAAATTACCCCATGATTTACTCACCCTCAAGCCATCCTAGGTATTTATGACTTTCTTCTTTCAGACGAGTCCAATCGGAGTTATTTAAAAAAATGTCCTGGCACTTCCAAGCTTTATAATGCCAGTGAATGGGTGTTGAGATTCAATAGTTCAATAAAAGTCCAATAAACAGTGTCCATCCATCATAAAAAGTGCTCCAAACGGCTCCGGGGCATGAATAACGGCCTCCTGTTTTTGTAAGAAAAATCTCCATATGGTTAAAACTTTATAAACCGTAATCTCTAGCTTCTGCTAACTGTCATGGCGTTCCAGCGGATGGTGTTGGACGTAGGTGTAGTTTTGTTTACCGGAGCAAAGGAAGCAAAGTTCCCTTACTTTATCCAGTCTCCTCTTGGCTTATTTTGAAATCCTCCGTCATTTTTCTTTACAAATCCTCGTTTTGTACTTCTTTGTTTTGCTCTTGATTATCCTATTTAAATCAATGTGATGAAAGAGTAAGGTCAAAAGTATTCAAAAAGTAGTCTGATTATGTTACCTAAAATGTAATAGATTACGTTACTAGCTACAATTTTTGTCATGTAATTTGGAATCAGTAACGGACTACTATTTGTAAGTAATCTACCCAGCTCTGCATATATTAAAAACTATATGTGCATGCAATGCATGTTATATTACTCTAATATAAAGTGGCCTGTTGGAAAATTTAGATGATGGTGAATGTGTTATTAATATAAAGCATAATAGCTGGTCAGTCGCTGGTTAACCACCCACCATGTCCACCTTAAATTTAAATAAATAAATAAATAAATGTATGCATTTAGCAGACGCTTTAGCGACTTACAGTGCATTCAGGCTATACATTTTTTATCAGTATGTGTGTTCTCTGGGAATTAAACCCACGACCTCTGCGCTGCTAACGCAATGCTCTACCACTGAGCCACAGGAACCTTAACCAGCTAATGACCAGTTTAAACCAGCTGCTGTACTCCAAGAAGCAACTGCAAGTTTAAGATGGACTTTCTAAGTGGGTAGTACCATGGTTTTCTTTGAAAAACGCTACTGTGCAAACGTTTGGGGTCTGTAAGATAAATTTTTGAAAGAAAGTAATACAGCAAGGATGCATTCAATCGATCAAAAGTGAGAGTAGAGACTTTTATAATGTTCAAAAAGATTTCTATTTCAAATAAATGCTGTTCTTTTGAACTTTCTATTCATCAAAGACTTCTAAAAAAAAAAGGGTTTCCACAAAATAATTTTTTTTTTCAACATTGATAATAATAGTTTCTTGAGCAGCAAATCAGAATATGAGAATTATTTCTGAAGGATCATGTGACACTGAAGACTGGAGTAATGATGCTGAAAATTCAGCTTTGATCACAGAAATAAATTACATTCTACAATATATTCTAATAAAAAACTGATATTTTAAATTGTAATAATATTTCACAATTTTTACAGTATTTTTAATCAAATAAATGCAGCCTTGGTGAGCATAAAGAGACGCATTTCAAAAACATTAAAAAATACAGACCCCAAACTTTTGATGAGTATTTTACAGTACCTTGAAATACCATATATATACACACTACTTAGTGTATATATGTAGTGGCACCATATTTTTGTACAACTACAAGGATCATTTATCCTTAATTAATTCTTTATTGTGACTTGAAACGCATCTCAAATGTTCCAGCATGTGTTGAAGTCAAGTTTTCATGAAACATATTTGAGTGAAACAAAATCCAGATCTGACTGGATCATGGTGTCATTATAGTAGCTGTCTTTAAAGCACATCCTGGTGGCCATCTGGCAAAACCACAAATTTCATAACCGGATGTACTTTTTTATCGCCAACCTGGCTTTGTGCGACTTGTTAGCCGGCGTGACTTATATAGTCAACCTGCTGATGTCAGGACAGTGGACGCTACACTTGTCTCCGGCCGAGTGGTTTGTTCGAGAAGGGAGTATGTTTGTCGCATTAGGCGCGTCTATTTTCAGCCTACTGGCGATTGCGATCGAACGCCACCTTACTATGATCAAAATGAGGCCTTATGATGCAAGCAAAAACTATCGGGTGTTTCTGCTCATAGGAACGTGCTGGCTGATCGCGATCACACTGGGAGCGCTGCCTATTTTAGGCTGGAACTGTCTGGAGGATCTTCCTCAGTGCTCCACCATCTTACCTCTTTACAGCAAGAGCTACGTCGCGTTCTGCATCACCATCTTCATCTCGCTCCTGCTGGCCATCTCCGTCCTCTACGCCCGCATTTACGCCCTGGTCAAGAGCAGCAGCCGCAAAGTCACCAAGCACAGCAACTGCGAGCACTCCATGGCCCTCCTGCGCACCGTCAGCATCGTGGTGGGCGTCTTCATCGCCTGCTGGACGCCCATCTTCGTGCTGCTCCTCGTCGACGTGGCCTGCGGGACCAAAACGTGCCCGGTTCTGCTCAAAGCTGATTGGTTCATCGTGCTGGCCGTATTGAATTCCGCCATGAACCCCGTCATCTACACGCTGGCCAGCAGGGAGATGCGCCGGGCGTTTTACAGGCTCGTGTGCGGGTGTTTGGTGCGGGACGGCGCGGTGGGGTGCAAGCAGAACACGGACCCCAGCCGGAGCAAATCCAGCTCCAACTGCCCACGGGCGGCCGAACAGGAAAACCCAGACGCGCAGAATCAAGCTAACAAAAGCTGAAGCACTCAGTGTGTTTGCTAAAATGCACACTACAGCATTAGTGCATGCTATAGAATTTTAGTATGCACTTTTTTAGTGCACTATTAGTGCATACTAAAGTGCACAATAAAGCATCAGCACATTAAGTGCATGTTGAACAGTGGAAAGCAGTTTTAATGTCCCAACAGATGCTTTCATTTGAGATCCCAACCAATCTGTTCTTACACTGCAAAAAAAAAAGATTCTTACTCAGTATTTTTGTCTTGTTTTTCAGTGCAAATTTCTAAACATTCTTAAATCAAGACACATTTACTTGAGAAATGACATTAAGATAAGAAGTCCTGTTTTCTGAAAAATGTAACAAAATTTAAGTACGTTTTTGCTTAGAACAAGAAAAAAATATCTAACACTTTACAATAAGGTTCCGTTTGTTAACTATATTTAATGCATTAACTAATAACCAGCAAGACATTGTTACAGAATTTGTTAATCTTTGTTAGTTAATAAAAATACAACTGTTCATTGTTAGTCTATGTTAGCTCAGGTCCATTAAATAACATTAATAGATATAACTTTTGATTTTAATAAATGTTGGAATCAACATGAACTAAGATGAATAAATGCTTTAGAAGTATTTGTCATTGTTAGTTTATGTTAACTAATGTAACTAGCGTTAACAAATATTGTAAAGTGTTACCAAAATATCTGCCAATGGGGACAGAACAAAATCATTTTCCCTTAGAATCAGAGTTATTATAGTTAACTAAAATTAAAATTAAAACAATTAATTTTTTGTAGTTTGAAATCAAATAAAATATAAAAACCGTTTTATTTCATTTGATTTTATTTGTTTA